GGGGCCCACCCCGAGCCAGAGCCGCTTCCAGGTGGACCTGGTCTCCGAGAGCGCTGGGCGGGCCGCGGCCGCGGCGGCGGCGAAGGAGCCCCCCGCCTCCGGCAAGGCCAGTGGTGGGAGCGGGCAGACCAAAGCCAGCGAGGAAGCCAAGGGCCGCTTCCGCGTGAACTTCGTGGATCCGGCCGCCTCGTCCTCCGCGGACGAGATGTCGGATGCGGCGGGGGTCGGAGGCGACGGACCCAACGTGAGCTTCCAGAACGGCGGAGACACGGTGCTGAGCGAGGGCAGCAGCCTGCACTCGGGCGGCGGCGGCAGCAGCGGGCACCAGCACCACTATTACTATGACACCCACACCAACACTTACTACCTGCGTACCTTCGGCCACAACACCATGGACGCCGTGCCCAGGATCGACCACTACCGGCACACGGCCGCGCAGCTGGGCGAGAAGCTGCTCCGGCCCAGCCTGGCGGAGCTCCACGACGAGCTGGAAAAGGTGAGCCTGCCCCCCCAGCTTTCTCCCCTCCCCTCCCAGATGATCGGATCGCTGCACCTCGCCGGCTCCAGTTGTGTCTGCAGCCCTCCTTGCGTGAGGTGGCGGGAATGAGCGTGCACGACTCTCTGGCTTCTCTGGAGTCAGCTGTCAAGTTTGGGATTGCAGGGGAATGTAACCCAATCTCCTAAAAGTTTGCAAAGCGTTCGACTAGTGAACGTGTTATTGGAGAGGCTGCATTTAATCACCTTCTCATCCAGCGATCTATCTTACTTACGCCTTTTTTTTTTCCATGCCAGGCAGAATAGCTATCACCTCTCTGATGACAATTGTATTTGTGCCAGCTTCTCCCCGCCCTTCACCTCCCGGGAAGGAAATGTTCAAGAGGTTTATTTAGGTGTGTGCATCTCTTGGGAGGGAATGGAGCGCACCTACCATCTGTGCCCAATTTAAAGATCCTATAGTGTGCCTTCCATACACCCATTAAGGCTCCCTGGAGTGAGGACGTTGGTATTTGAAGGAAAATCTTAACACAGGGTGTGTTTGTGGTCTATGAATTATTAAAGTTCAGTTCTTGCAAACTTGAATGTGCAAAAAGATGATAGGAATCTTAAATGTTGAACAAGCTGTTCCTGATGATGGCACCCGTCCATTTTATTTTTAATGTAAACCTTTGGGAAGGCACTATTTAAAACAATTGAGATGGAGAATGCAGGGCCTTTAAAAGAAAACCCAAATTTAAAAAAGGATAGAAGAAAACTTCTTTTTCCTAGGGAGGATGTCCGGGAAGTTCTGGTGGCTGTGCAAAGGCAGCTGTACTTCGTGAACAGAAAGCCATCTCCATTAACACCCCATACCTCCCCCTCCTCCGCTGAATTTTGTTTTGTTGTTGAGCCATTAACTCTTAATTTCAGTAATTCTCTTTTTTATGACCACAGGAAACTTATCTCTTCTGAGTTCCTGATTCATTATTTGAGATAACATTGATGCCTTTGAGATGTGGTTAATGGTTAACTTTTTTATGAGTCGGTATTACAGGGAAGTCTGAATTTACAAGTATATAAAGATTACATTGATGGAATTTTGTGAGTGCAAAGAGTTGGTACCACATAGGATGACATGATCACAGTTTGGGAAAGCTTATATCAGAATATATGTGATTATTTTGAATATATTTCAGATAGTAAGATATTTGTCCCAGGGTTTGGATAATGTAACATGCATACAGTTTGAAATAACTGCAGAGGTCCCAACCCTTACAGTTATTGATTGTTTAAAAGTCTGACATCATTTAGCTTTACATAATAGTACAGTTATTCTATTGTGGTATTTTGTCATAATCAGGAGCATAACCAGTTTTTAAGAATACTTGTATTCATGTTCCTTATGTTTCTCTCAAATGCGATGTTTTTCTTATGCAAGCTTCAAATTTTTGTAGACTAAAGTAGATATGTGGCTAGTAATTTTCCTTTTTTATGAGTGTGAAACTCCTGAATGAAATTTTTATACAAACGTATTTCAGATTCATTTCTCCAAAGCAGAGTAGTTTGGCAAGAAAACATTCTATTTACATGTTAGAAACTAAGTCTTCTTTAGAAAGTGTTTTTAATTGAAAGTTTCAGAATTATTATTTCAACTGACCAAAAAGGTCAGAAGAGACTGGAAAACTTGCTCTTCAGAACGTACTCTAAACACCAACTCCTGCCCATTGAGTCGCTTCCGACTCGTAGTGACCCTATAGGACTGGGTAGACCTGCCTCTTGGGTTTCTGAGGTGGTAATTCCTTTCAGGAGTAGAAAGCCTCATTGTTCAGCAGCTGGTGGTTTTGAACTGCTGACCTTGAGCCACTACTACCAGGGCTCCTGAATGTAGGGTAGCTGCAGTGAATGCAAGAAAAGATGGACTAAAAAGCTGAATGGATGTTTTCAAAAGTGTGACCATGAACTTCTATACTTCGTAGGAAGATTTTGTCATTTTAAGTTCTACCAATTAACAAAGCTATTAAAGTTCTTCACAACTCTAGGCTCATTAGACTGTGTGTGTGTGTGTGTGTGTGTGTGTGTGTGTGTGTGTGTGTGTGTGTGTGTGTGAGAGAGAGAGAGAGAGCGCGAGCGCGAGCGCATTTTCAGTTTATAGTATATTAAAAGATAGATCACCTGTTATGAAGTAGTTGACGAAGTTACCCAAACTCACCTTCAGCTTTTTCTACTTCCAAGGTTTTTGTGACGACGATTAGGAAAAACTTCACACTTCAGATTAAGCTCAGAACCCGTAAAGTAATGACTGGTGTACTTATTATTTTGCCCTTACATTTGCCCTTCGCAAAGTATAAACTCCAGAATTTCCATTTTAGATTCTCTTGAGTGCTGTATACGTAGGTGAATGTAATGTATAAAAAGCAGCGTTAGGATTTTTCAGGTAGTAACAGGTAGTCTAATGCATGTTCTGTGAATTTTTAAAATCTGCGTATATTTTTTATGGCCAACACAGCTTAAATTAAGCTTAGAACCACGTAGTCAAGGTGACACAGCTGGTTAACCGTTGAGCCACTAACTGCCAGGTTGGTGATTCAAACCCAACAACTGGAGAATGATGAGGCTTTCTGTTCTCTTAAAAGACATATAACCTCCTCCCTGCGGGACGGACAACAGAAAAGTGGGTGAAGGGAGACGTCGGACAGGGCAAGATAGGACAAAATAATTTAAAAATTATCAAGGTTCAAGAGGGAGTGGGGAGCGGGGAGGGAGGGGAAAAAATGAGGACCTGATGCCAGGGGCTTAAGTGGAGAGCAAATGTTTTGAGAATGATGAGGGCAATGAATGTACAAATGTGCTTTACACAATTGATGCATGTATGCATTGTGATAAGAGTTGTATGAGCCCCTAATAAAATTATTTTTTAAAAAGATTTATCGTTTTGACAACCGTCAGGAGCTGCGTCATTCTGTTCTGTGGGTCAGCATGCGTGGGAATCGACTTGGTGGCAATGGGTTGGGTTGTAAACATAGACCTACAGATTGAATATGCTTTTGTGCAGAATTTAGCAAACAGATGAAAGAACTGTAATGTTCAGTAGTACGTCATGGCACTGGAAACGCTGTTGGGGAACTGGTAGAAGAGGATTAATGACAGGAATTGGCCAGATCCTCAAGAATTGTTCCTTAGCCCGTCTGAATTGTGACCCTTAGCTTAAATGCTTTTTTAATGCTTCTAGCACTCTGAATCATAGTAATTAAAATTTCTGTAGCATTTAATTCTCGTGCTTGATTACATTTTGTCCTGTCATTATCACTGACAGTTTAAATATCTACTGAGTGTCTAAATCTGTTTAAGAACCATGGAAGAACAAAAGAACTAAAAGACAAACTGACTAGAAACTTGTTATACTGCCTTCTTTCCACTTGAATTACTTTCAGTCGCTAGCATGGTGACTTTAAGAATTTTGCTTAAATATGAAATTGAGGAGTAGTAGTTAAGGACACTTAAAGGGGAGTAGTTAAAGGTGTCTCTGTATCATGCAGCCATTATAGAGCTATGATCCATGAGTTCTCTGTTTATCAAATATTTTTTAGGGAGGGGGTTGTCTATAAGTGTTGTCCAGTGGGCTGTGCAACGGGATTGATGAGATTGATTAGCAGAATAGATAACTGTCAGCTGAAACAGACAATAACCAAACAGTGGCACAAATGCAGTTACTCATTATTTTTCAATGGTGTGAAAGAAAACTATAGAATGTTCTCACTGCCATCAAGTCAGTGCTGACTCATAGTGGCCTGTGTGGCTTTCTGAGAATGTAACAGGAGTACTAAGGCCAGTCTTTCTCCCAAAGAGCTGCTGGTGGTTTTGAACTCCTGACCAGACGGGACCAGATGATTGCAGCTAGTGAAGCTCTAATAGAACCTACTTTTGGCTGGGGTACGGGGAGGCCTTTATTCTGAAGTGTAACATGGAAGCTACGGGTATGTTGACAGGCAGAAGAACATTCCAGGCTAAAGAAACAAATTATGTGAAGTTAGTAAGGTGAGAAAGTGGTATGCTCAAAGAACTTAAAAAAGGCCAGTAGAGAAGGGTTTGAGTGGGAGAGTGACTTGGTGTGTTTTGTTTAAACATCTCTGGGTAAAGAATCAATTGGCAGGGTAAGAGTAGAAGTAGGGTAACTAGGCTATGAGTTAGAAATAGCAAAACTTGGTGACCGAACTCATTGGATGTGAAACAGAAAGGGGGTCTGTGTCCAGGTTTGGGATTTGAGTAACTGAGTGTGTGGTGGTGCAGCTGTCTGCAATGGGAAAGGCTGGAGGAGGAACAGATTTGGGGGTGGGGGAGGACTGCTGTTTGAGTAGCCTGTGGAGTATCAAATTCCACGAGTCATTTTGAGGGATGAAAGGATGATGCTTAAGGTCCGGAATGAAATTGCCTAGGGAAAATGGGTAGATAGGGTTGTTGAAATAGGGTATTGTATAGAGAAACCATCTGTCAGGGCATGAGGGCCACTAGCAAAGGAAATTAAGAAGGGAGCCTCTGAGAGGCTGGTGAGAAATAGTTCTGAGAGCAGACTCCGACCCTGAGAAAAGAATTTTAAAGAAGAATGACCATTCCAAGCCTAATGCCAGGAATTGATTTTTAAAAATTGATTAGAAAACAGTCAAACCCACGTAGTGGTTTCTGTCCCTATTATATCTGAAGGGAGCTTATCAGATGTAAATATTGAATATGGAAAAGCATGTCGTTCTTAGGTACTGTACTGTCTAGTTGGTTCTGACTCAGGCCTTGGAGAGATTTTGGGTTCTGTTTCACACTACTGTCATAAATCAATTAATGTACTAAAGTGAATCACACTTTTTTTGTTTCCCAGTGCATATAAAAATTCTGTCTACACTATAGTCTATTAAGTGTGCAATAGCATTATGCAAAAGTTTGAAATACTGTGACGATCAAAATGTGACACCGACATGCAGTGAGTGTATGGTTTGGGGAAAATGAGAATGATAGACTTGGTGGACCACA